GTTGATATATGAAAGAAATATTAAAGAAGCGCCTGAATGAAATGAAGCTGAAGTGCATTGACTCTATTTATTTATAGAAATGAATTTTTTTTTTCTTTTCTTGAGACTTATACAAGTCACTGTGAAGAAAAGAAAAAAATTACTGTTCAAAAGTTGCATATTAAAAGAAAATTTTATTACAATTTGCATCTTTCAAAAAATAGACTTCTGTTTTACTGACCATTTCACACATGATGTACAATCACATGCAAAATCAATGTACATCTACAATTTTTTCATTGTTAGTATAAATATACATTAGTTAGGGCTATAACAATGTGTAATGTCCATCAATTGATGACAATTATCGTTACATGTACATATAAAATATTTTTTAAAAACTTTATTAAATTTTAATGTTTTGAATAAGCATATTTTTTTAAAGAAACTTGATTTATTTTATAAGAATTATTGTTTGTTAGGTGTAATACTTTTGCAATGTAGTTTCATAGCATTAAGTTTAGTAAAGTTTTTAAACAAAATAAACAAATTCAAAGAAAAATTACATAAGAGCTGTAACACAAATAAAATAATTATTTTTAATTCTGAAAATGACGATTAATAAAACTCAGTTTTTGATTGTATAGATTGTAGTTTTATCAATCTTTATTGTACAACTTACATTTAATAACACATAGTGTTATGTCTCCCTTCTTTTTTTTTAAATATCCCATCTCATTTATTTTACCTAAACGACGTGAAGTACTTACCTGTGTAAAAAAAATGATCTCCAGGTTGATCAAGTTTTACATAAAATAAATTACACATAATATACTTGTGATATAGAGCATGACTTTATTAAATAGTTTTACATACTTCAAAATTTATATTAAACATTACGATTGACCGCGACTAATTTTGTTATTACTAATTTCTGATTAAAAGTAACATAATTGCATGAAAATTAAAAATCTTGAATAAACTATGAACATTTCTTAAAATCTTGAAAGGTAGGTATATCAAAATTTATTTCTAATTAGTTATATACGCGATTATAAATGCTCAATGAATTCGTATTAAATTTATACAATACGTTGTGAATGAAGATTTCAAGATTTTCAAGAAATATGTTTTGACTAAAACGTTTCATGAAACGTTTTTTCTTTGAATAGTCTCATATTACTATAAATATTTGAAGAAAAAACTATAACATTGTAAAGTAAGAAAATAGAGCCAGTTTTTACACTTGCAGCATAAAAATCCTAGGTAGTGATGTATGCATGTATGTATGTTAATTATTTTTATCAACTTTACGAAAAGTATTAAAGTAACGGATCAGATTTTTTAACAAATGATAACACAGAGTGAAAAAAAAATAACGTTGCACTGAAAGACATAACTAGTCAAGTTTATTACCAAAATTTTTTTATAGCTGTCTGGGTGGAAAAAAAATTAATAATTCCACTAACCTGGGTTCAAGTCTGTCTATCTTGCCAACAAAGAGAAAAAGGCCTTGAAGCCCTAAAGTAAATTATAAATAAATTATAAAATAGTAAAACAAACAATCGTAGTTAAGCCGTATCAAATAAATAAGAAATAACTTGATAATGATTTTTTTTCAAAGAAATTGTGATTCTATACTTAACTGGATTAAACAGTGGCGTGAGTTACAACACAAATATTATTCGCTGAAATTTGGCTTTGATGTAAAAATACTCATTTTGCAGAAAAAAACTTAACATGTGTGCTTATTACATGTACATGAATTTTTTTGTTTTTTATTTCAATCATCGCTAGAAAATACCAAATAGTAATTCATTAAATATTCTTATGTGTTCAGCTTTGAGACAACTACACTTTGTCGATGATTCTCCATTTTTTATATGTGTTACTTTCCAAGTGCAGACCTTAAAATCATCACATCGATAGTGTCTGAAGCAACTGCAAATAAAACAGCGACTGCCCCACATGTTGTAACATTACATATCTCAAAGCATGCCCTTTGCACCCTCTCGACTGCAGCTACTATACCCCTCCCTCGAAAAATTCCTCAAAAAACAAAAGGAAAAATAACAACTTTTCGTACCAACTAAAAAAAAGAAAAATCCATAACGCTATTTCACAAACCGAGTCCAGCAAACGACTTCATTCTAAAACAAGTTCTTGTGTGCCTCCCGCACTTTGTACAGATGATCATCGAGGTGCATCAGCATCAACGTCTACAGTGGGTGGAAGCAGCAGTCTTACATCAACAGCATCCGGGGACACATCCCAGCAACAACAAGCCGAAAGCAGCGAGCAACAGCTGCAGACTGCGCCAAATCAACAGCAACAGCCTGTACCTCAGCATTTGTAACCAGGATTTACCACTGGTTATTACTACGCGTCCTCGTCGTCATCGTTGCTGATGATGATGATGATAATGATAAGCCAAAAATCAAAGTTGCATACCATCTCTACGGTGTAGGATTATTATCAGCTTTGATGATAAATAAGGGCATTCAACGCGTGATATGGTCGTTCACTTACTTTCATTAACTCAAAATGAACAGCAGCTGTGTACCAATTGTTAGCAAAAAGGAAAATCGTTATTTGGAAAAAAAAAATTTATAAAAAAAACAGGCTTTTTTTCTTACGTATAATTATTAACATACACACTCGCAGAATTATGACAGTTTACATGATTATAACGATAATACGTGACACGGTATCTCATATGATATTATCAAAAGGATATAGTGTCATCATCTTAACTTGCTTCTACCTCCCCATTTATTTATAGAAATGAATTTTTTTTTTCTTTTCTTGAGACTTATACAAGTCACTGTGAAGAAAAGAAAAAAATTACTGTTCAAAAGTTGCATATTAAAAGAAAATTTTATTACAATTTGCATCTTTCAAAAAATAGACTTCTGTTTTACTGACCATTTCACACATGATGTACAATCACATGCAAAATCAATGTACATCTACAATTTTTTCATTGTTAGTATAAATATACATTAGTTAGGGCTATAACAATGTGTAATGTCCATCAATTGATGACAATTATCGTTACATGTACATATAAAATATTTTTTAAAAACTTTATTAAATTTTAATGTTTTGAATAANAAAAAAAAAAAAAAAAAAAAAAAAAAAAAAAAAACCATTGATGGGCGCGCGCCGGCGCTAAGCTGCGCCCAAATGAATAATAGTGGAGAGAATAAAAGATATACTTTACTGTCACACGACAATTAACACATGGCGTTAACAATAGGCAACGAGAGAAGGATCTTGGCACATCATCAATTGTTCAGTATTTTTTTTTCTCTTCGCTCCATCATGTTTATTTCTCAAGTTTGCGTCAATCGAACCTTCGCTTTTGAATAATTGTTAAAAAAAAAGAAATGGCGTAAGAGCTGCGTCTTTCTCTCGTTGCATCTTAAACAACTGTAGGCGTTTTGTAATGTAAAGCGCAGGTCGAACAATGTTGTATACAAGGGAATACTTGGGAGAGGATGATGTATTGACGATTTTTAATGAGAAACAAATAAATTTTTGAAAATAACGAATGATTATGATTGTAATGATGTTAGAGAAATAGTGCGTGCGATTGTGTGTTTTGAATGTTGCACACAAGAGAAAATCGTCTAATTGTAATTGAGAAGAAGAAAGAATGAGTGAGACTGACATTTATGTACTATTGTAGTTTTTAAGAGACAGTGAAACATATTAAGAGAAGATACGGAAAAAGCGAGAACAAAATTAATAGAACGCGAAGATAAAGCATGACAGACGAATGTTCATTTAAACATATATAAATATATATGATTCAACAATAATGATAGCTGAAAAATAAACTGTTTGTTATAGCCAAGAAATATTATTTTCGTGCTTTGTGAATAATTCCTATACAAAAGAGAGCAACGATAATTAAAGTGGTAATATAAGTTAAAGATTGTTTATCTCTATGATGCGAGTGCATTTTCTTTGTACTTTGTAGGGTTGATTAATTTTTTTTTAAACAACAAAGTACATTTTTGCGAACAAAGACTCAAAAGTGTGTACACCATACCTATAAACATAAAGCCTTTTCCTCTAAATTGAATTTGCTGTAACAAATACCTCTAGTTTATATATCCTTTTTTTCGTATTAACTCGGAAGAAATCTTCTATGTATTGTTTTTATAAGATAAAAGTGGGAACATAAGCAACTGCGCTCAAAAGAGGCAGTCTTGTTACCGAAAGGCAAGAAAAATAAACGAAAATCTATACATATACATATATGTTATCATGACAAGATTGCGTCTGTAATACGTTTACGACTGATTGAAACTAATACGCATGTATAAACCGATTGATTGTTGAAAGCCTTGATATACCTTTAAAGACCAAATTCACTCTGGTTCATTAGTTATTCAATTAAATACTAACATTTACAAAAAAGGGAATTTTCCTTTGTAGAAGTCATCCAACGATTTAAACTGAAGCTAATATAGCACAGTTTAATATTGGCAAATATTGATACCATCGATGCTTGAAAGCGACACCGGACAATACACGGAAAGGAAAAATAAGATAGTAGTGCGTGAAAAAATAAATTAAATGAAAAAAAAAACCAACATGTACATATAACTGTTATTATTCAACATCTTATGACTGCCTAAATTGTTTTCAAAGTAAGTATACGAAACAATTTGTTCATACCTCGAGCCATTTTCGTGATATTTTGGACGTTTTCTGGGGCCCTCGGTAGGAACAATAATGTTTGGCAACTAAGCATCTCCCAACCGGGGCTATACCCTGTATGCTCGATGCTCCCTCTGGATTAAAATATCTCCGGTGCCGATGGAGCTTCTGTGACGCAAAAACTACGACTTTTGGTCGTTATATTGCATTTTATATAGCAGATTTAATAACAGAAGTACCATCGCCACCGAGGCTATTTTCCGTAAAGTAGTACTTACTGGTTGGATGGGAACTTGTGTGGCGAACATTATTTTCCCTACCCCGGGGGCGCGCTAAACGCCCCAAGATAGAAAAAATAAATTTTCATTATGTCATCTGACACTTCACTTTAAATCAAATATATTATTTATTTATTCAAGTGGGCATGTACTGGGTATGTTCCTTTAAAATTAACCCAAACGCAACACATGCAGCTTAATAATTTATAGTGCATTTTATTGCAAGTAAAAAAATTAATCTTCCATGAATTAATTAGTAAGGGAAAAATAACGTAAAGTAATGTTGTAGGGACACATGTTCGGAATTATTTATTTATTTTTTTAATTCTTACATATATTATAGAGATAAAAGCCAGACTAGGCTATATAAAAACATAGCCTATCAGTACAGAGGAAGATTGATCAAAATTTCAATCTGGCATTTTAAATTTATTCAATCATCTTTATCAAAGACTTCAAGGGTACGCCAGTTCGCGCTTCGACATATACCACATTTTAGAGGATCAGCGCCATCTCGCGTGGCTTATTTGGAACTAATAAAGTACCCTTAAAATTAAAACTCTCCGCCGTCCGCCCCCAGCAAACACATTTTCTCAAGATTTCTAGTAGAAGTCTTGTAGACTTTTTTTACCCCAAAAACTCCCTAAAGATATCTTTCTGATGGACATTAGAAGTCTACAAGCCTTGTACAAGAAATCTTGAGAAAATGTCAAAATGTGTTTGCTGGGCCTGGAGATTCTCCGCCACTAGCGTTGTCTGGCGGATAATTTTAAATACTTTATACTTTTACTTTACTACTTTATACTTTTTAGTTCGAAATCAGCCACGCGAGGTGGCGCTGGTTGTTAACCAAATGTAATAAATCGAATCTGACGTTTAAAGTTTAAAGTCGAAACGTATGTACCCGGAGTAATAGAATATTTTCATAACAATATCAGAAAACAGGTGCCTGTGAACTTTTATAAATACTTACAATTTGTGTTAGTTATAAATTTTCACAATGAGAATAGGCACGCCAGTATGTATTTTAGATAATGGAGGCTACACTGCTAAAGTCGGCGTATCCAGCAGCGATTCGCCACGGTAAGTAAAAAGTAAACAAACACGAGACGAGGTTATGTGCTTACCTGCAAACAGTACAATTAATTGTAAAAAAAAAGTCAAGTACTTATTTAATTGTTCATTTAAGTGACGTATTTTTCTAGTGTAATCCCGAATTGTATAATGAAGGCAAAGAGCGAGAGGAGACGGGCGTTTATTGGCAATCAAATTGAAGAGTGCAGGGATGTGTCTGGTTTGTATTTCATGCTACCGTTTCAGAAAGGCTACCTCGTCAACGGGGACGTACAGAAGACCGTATGGGATTACATTTTCTCAAAGGACTGTTGCGGCGTGAATCTCAACACCTCCTCGCTGATCATTACAGAGCCGCTCTTTAACTTTTCGTCCATTCAGGAAGCTATGAATGAAATTTTATTCGAAGAGTACGAAGTTGCTAGCTTGCTTAAGGTCAATCCATCGACCCTGTCATGCTATAATTACAGACATAAGCATCCTACCTCCAAATGTTGCATAGTAGTGGATGTAGGATACAGTTTTTGTCACATTGTACCATACGTCAATGATATGAAGATCAAAGCTGGTATAAGAAGAATAGATGTTGGTGGTAAACTGTTGACTAATCACCTGAAAGAAATATTGTCTTACAGACAGTTGCATGTTATGGACGAGACTTACGTTGTTAATCAAGTGAAAGAAGACTCGTGCTTTGTGTCCAAGAACTTTTATGACGATATTGAAATCGCGAAGAGTCTGAATCTGGAAGAGAACAGTATTGTTAAGGATTATGTCCTGCCTGACTTTACCACGAGAAATAGAGGGTACCTTACAGAACCAAACACTACCGACGATCAGCAGCAGATTTTGAGGATGAATAATGAGAGATTTACAATCCCGGAAATTCTTTTTCATCCTTCCGATGTAGGTATCAAACAAATGGGAATTCCAGAAGCTATAATGGACTGCTTGAAAGCTTGTGAAGAAGAGACTTGGCCTCATTTGCTGGCAAACATCGTTCTTACTGGTGGAAGTTGTAAGTTTCCAAACTTCCAAGAAAGAGTATTAAAGGAAATTAGAAGCCTTGCTCCCGATGATTACACAGTCAACGTTTACTTGCCAAAGGAGTAAGTATTAAAAACTTTTACACCGCTCGTTTTGTTATGTGACTTTTAATAAAAAATTTTTTTCTGATAGTCCCATAACTACTGCATGGGAAGGTGGTAAGCTTCTATCCAACGATGCAGGGTATTCAAATTTAGTTGTAAAGAGAGAAGAATACGAGGAAGAAGGCCAAGCTGTATGTTACGATAAGTTTGACATATGAAACGGTATTTCTTATTTTTTAAACTTTTTAAATCAAAGTAGATTTCCAAAGGCAGTATTGATTAATCTTTTGACTTTGAAATCTTTTGTATTTTTGTACATAAATAATTAAAAATAGACTTGTAAATACATTCTGATAGTCTTACAAATAAAATAAAATTTTTTACTCTGTTGTGAAAAATTATACAACATATATATATATATATATCTTCATTTTTGTATAAATGCTGTTGATTAAAAAATTCTTCCAAAAATTGAAAAATACAGTTATATGGATTTCATTTTTGACATTAGTTCCTCTAAACTTTGATCACCGGCATCCACAGCAACTTCAGATTCGAAATCAACCTCTGGAGCGGGCAGGTCGTAAGCCTGCGATATTCCTGGTGCAACGGTTTTGTTCTCCGTCTCTTCTGGCACTCTTTCGTCCACTAGAGAAATTCCTATGATAGGTTTAGAAAATTTGTAATTTTAACATATTACGAGATATTTAAATATTTTCACAACTGTATTAAGCAACTTACCCCATTCGTTATCTTCATGTATGGGCTTTTCTTCCACACACTCTTCGCAATATTCAACCTTAGGCTTGGCGGCAAACTCTTTTTGTCTTTCTTTACAAAATTTATCATCACAATTAGAATTGGGCTTGAGACTCATTGTCGGAAAGAAATCTTGCATAGCATTGTAGCCCAAGTAATGAGTAACAGTACCAAACTCTAGTAAATACTTTAAAGTATTTTGCACTAAAAATCCAGCAACGATGCCCATTGTCGTAGGTAAAGACGCTGCGCAGACGCCGTCACGTTTCAAAGTTTTTTCATCAATGTTTGATGCAACCACTAGAGGAGGCGCACACTAAAAGTTGAAACGATTTTTGAAATTTTTGAAAATTTATTTTTATAGGGTAATTCATATATAAATATATATATCTTACGCACTGCGAAGCATGCGGTTTCTCCAGGAACAATGAACTGAATGTGTCCGGAAACCGCATTTTCCGATACTCCACTCTCAAACCACTTCTGATTTAATTCATTGCAAGCTGTGTTTATTGCCATTCTAGCTTCAAAGTTGTCGACACAACTCAACACTAAATCAACTGGTCCCTCGTTAATACTCGAAGTTCTAAAATTATTTTGAATCAACAAATGTTACATTAGTAATTTATTGATTAAACTGTACGAAAAAAGAGTGCAATTTTATATACTCTTGGCAGAAAAAAAGCAAAGTATACATACTTAATTGTATTTATGAACTCATCAAAGTGATCAACCGTCGTAATATTGTAGTTGTGCGTCTCTATTTCGACATCTGGGTTAATAAATCTCAGCGTTCTAGCCGCAGCTTCGACCTTAGTCTGTCCTACTTGGTGGGGCTGGAAGAACAGCCTGTTCATATTGGCCAATTCGACTTTATCGTAATCAAATAGCACCAACTGAAAACAAAGAAGAAAAAAAAAGCTGCACGATGTTTTGCAAACTGTTCTATTAAAGCCATTGACTCAAACGAATCACATGGCGTGACGATTGCGCTCAACATGAGTGCTTTTGCTCTTATGTGCCGAGTATTATTTGAAAACTTTGTGTCGATTTTTTGCTAACTATTCATCAAAAGTCTATCGGGAGTTTTTTTTTTTTTTCTCAGGGTCGAATATCGAAAAACTATATTATTTTAAGAAACAATATCACGCTTACCTTTCCAATGCCACATCTAGTTAACATTTCAGCAGTGACACTTCCTACTCCTCCAACTCCAACAACGGCCACAGTCATGTAACGAATCTTTTCATAGTTTTTTACTATTCCCATTCGCTGGAGGGCTAGGAGTCGACTGAAAAAAAAAAAAAAAAAAAAAACAGGCTTAACAGTCAAATGTGAAATACAACTTGACATTGAATTAAGTAAACAAACGGAGACCGGTAATAATATAACGATTAAGCGTGGAACAAAAATATATTGTTATTAACAAAAAAAAGTTTGACAAAATTTGTATATATTTTCTTCCTGCCAAGTAAGCACCAAAGCGATTACTCCTTCTACAAAGTGTTCAGTCAGCATATAAAACAAACCATGTCAACGCGAATTGGCTAAAACGTCCAAGCATTCGAGTACTTATTTATGCCAGCACTGCAAAATCAAAAGATCGGTGGAAGAAAAGAAAAAAAACAAGCCACGAGTAAACACCTGTAAGGATTTGTGTCCACGACCTCGCTGGACATCTGTTGGATCCTCGCGCGTCCTTGTGCCCCAGCCTCTCCGGCTTTGGCCTCCTCGAGCTGCTGCTCCAGCTCCTTGATCCTCTTTTGCAACGTTTCCACCGTAGCCATGTTATTGACGATCAAGTACCAATCAGTGAACCAATAAATTCTTTTCAATAAAAAATCATACTTCCATATGTCAATTCTACAGCGAAACACTCTCTTTCTCTTGAGCGCAGCAAAACTAAAGTATATATACATGTAAGCAGAAGCATGTGCCAGCACAGATGACGTGTGAGCTGAGTATGTAAACACACGCGTATAAGACCTTTGCTACGGGTATAATACGTCGAAATCCTGTTTTTTTTTTTAAATTACAATTTAATTAATTGAAGAAGTAGAGTGAAAGAGGGTATTTGTTTTTTTACGTGAGATAGACAGTTGTTTTGTAAATTTTTAAACATTAAAAATAAAAAATAAATATTTTCATTCCAGAGTAAATAGCTTTTTTGCAAAGAAAATTTTTTATTCATTACTGGTTGCAATACAATACCGAAAAGAATTTTCTCATCCCAGTTTAGTGCAATAAACTATAGTTATTAAAGTTTATTGCGAAGTTTTGGGTACTTAACGTTTGGATAATTTTTTAAATATTTTGACTACTTTTTTTCTAAATTGTTTTTTTTTTTCTTTCAAATTGAAATGCATTACTTTTGCTGAAAAAAAATTTTTTTTTTCATGTAATGTATTGATAGTATTATTTAAAAAAAAAGCAATTGTTATTAGCCTAAATAATATACGTTACGCTTGAAATAAAATATTACATTTAAAAAAAAAAATTGAAAAAGTATATCAAGCCAAAGTCTGATCACACCATATATAGACATATATATTAATTAACAATAGAGCGGGGATAATCAATCTTTGTGAGTCGTGAAGCAAATTCCGACGTAGGTGTGCATATATATGTATAAATTTTTTATCATGGAATGGTCCCTACTATGTATGCATGCGTATGTTATGTGCGGTGCATACTTTAATGCTCAGAGTGTAGGCTATTTTTATTAGAAGTGTCTCTCGTGTATATATGTGTATGTGCTCATAAGTTATATTTGCGTGCCGTGCCCCCGGGAGCCGATTTTTTGCGCGTTTATTCTAGATCTGTACGTACGCGCGCAACTATTTTTTTTAAATTACTATAACTAATTTAAAGACTTTTTTATTTTTTTTTTTCGAGGTAATACCGATATAATTATTTCCACTTATGTACATGTGCAGTATAAAAATATGGTAATCTGAATAATGGGTGCGGGATGCGTTGTATTGGTACATGCATGTACTTGGTCCCTGATGTTGTGTAGTAAATTAATGATTGCACGATTAATCGCGGCGATTAAAAGTTTTATGGACGATGTACGTACCAATTTGCATCTAGATTTCCGAGACTTAATCGATTTATAAGAGGACGGTCTTTGATGTTTTTTATAGAAGTTTCAGTTTTATAATAAGCTTCAAATACTTACGCTGCTTTTCTTACTTTTTTACGATTTTCATTATTTTTTATTTTTTATTTTTTTATTGTAAAATAAGCCTTTCTGCAAGTAATAATCGTTGTGATTGAAGGCAGCAAGAAACGTTGTTAGTTTGTCACGTCACTCTTGAGAAAACGTTGCGAAATTATGTGAGCATTTATATTGTACGGTGTAGTTTTATCAATTTCTTTTTTTTTTTTACAGACGAAATGAATCTTTTACAAGAGAAAGTTGAAAAGACACTACAAGACGGTGATTCAAGATGGGAAAAAAAAGCGTTAACAAAACGCTTTCGAGCTCAGCGCAAATACCTTACGCGTCAGTTGAAGAGGAAAAAAAAAAAAAAAAAATCGTCAAGTCGCAAACGTGAGAATGAAAAACGAAGTCGAAAGAAATTAAAGAGTCGAGCCCCTAACCGTCGTATATGTATATGCTAAATGTGATCCGGCGCGCGTCGTACGATATTTATTATTAGCAGTAAATCCCGAGCCTGAGCTCTTTGCTCCGTCCAGTTCAGACCGTCCCGGCAACGTTGTGTGTGATTTATACGTCCATCTTGTACTATACATCCACGACCGCTTCCACGAAAAATCTGTACAAAAAAAATGTCAATGAGCTTTTTTTTTTTTCTTTGTTTAGTGTATGCGCTTTTTTTTGGACCACCGTAAAAAACACACGCACATTTCTCCAAGATTTTTAAAATTTACTATTTTTCGCACATTAATTATTTTTAGTAGGTCTGGCTAGAAATTACAAACGGGGAAAATCAAATTTTACTTGGCCTATGAATAATTTGTAGGACAAAGGGAGAAGTGACATTATTCATCTTTTTGTAATAATTTAACCATGACCTGAAAAAATGCCAATTGCCATTTTTGCAGTGTGACTTGCGAGTATAGAGTAAAAATAAAAATTTACAATCCGTAAATTGAAAAGGTAAGGTTCCGTCAGGAATTTAGACATTATATTTTGACTCAAAAAATCGCTGCACTTTATTTTATGTCAATCGCTGTTGGAAAAAAGTGAAATTTTAAAAACTATTTCCACGATTTTTCTCACTCATCGCACACAACAATTACAACAGTTTCGAGGACGAGTACAAAAAAAAACTTGATTTTAACTACAAATCTCGTACAACAAACGATTTTCTGTGTGATTGATCGTATACGCGTATAAGTAGTGAAGTTGTATAGCTCGACAAAAAAAAAAAAATCAAGCATTCCTCGTGATGGGCTTTGTATGGATCTCCGCACGAAGCGTCTTGTCTCGTCTGGAGTTGAATACTTGGAAATGATTTTTTCGGGTAAGGGGCAAAAAAACTCACCACACCCGATGCACGACCAACCGGATTCCTCGCAGAATTTTTTTTTCAAACGACATCGATACTTGGAAATAAATTTTTTCTCGTTCGTCACTACACTCTTTTGTAATGGCCAATAAACAAAATGAGCGTTTTTCCACGTACTTACACGCCGATTTCTAAAAAAAGTTGAAAAAACATTTTTTCACGTCGAATGAACCTGATAAATTATATGAGCAATTTGTCGTGAAAAAAAAAAACACGTAAAAAATTCCTGAACTGCACGTGGCATTGTTGTTTTGAAATCGAAAAGCGCGCGCTCTCTCTCTCTGTAGTGATCAGCAAATTGTTCCTTTAACTTGAAATACATTCAAACGATCGCTGGAAAAAAAAAGTACGAGCGAAGCATACGTGTATTCTTCACGTCGGCCGATTGATCGTCCACTCATCGAACTTTCCCTGTCCACCTTTGTTTAATTTATCGTTTTATCCGCGCACGTATATTTTTAATAAATGTAACGGGCCCGTAAATAATATTTACCTCGTTTAACATATTTCAAAAGAGTCGAGGAGACGATGATATTGAAAAAAAAAAAAAAGAAAAACAAAAAATTGGCACAACTATTAATTTTAACAGGTTTAATGAACAATGTTCATCCTCTTGTGTATTATTTCCTTCAATGTGAACATTAATCCATCTGTACCTATGTGGCCTGTCTGTCAGTTAGTCTGCTCTGTCTGTCTGCAGCTATACACATAATGTATATACATATATGTATAAAAGATCGGTATTATGCATCATGATCGGCAACAGCTCTCGTCTGGTGCCACACCTCCAAAGCTCACCCGACGAGATATAGAGAGTGAGCGGGGGAGAAAGGATATATTATAAGTACATCGAGTTAACGATACATGTGTGTTCTACGAATACGCATTCCGTATTCCGTAACGGTACCATGGCAGGGTAAAGGAGTTTCGCCATTGGTTGGCACGACGTGACGTAGCGCGAACATCCGATCGCGCGTTTTATTCCCCTCCAACGGGGAAGGAGCACCTATATGCTCTCTTTTTCTTCCCTGTCGCGTTTTTGTTTTTTTTTTTTTTTTTTTTTTTTTTTTATTTATATACATCACTTGGTTGCGAATCAGAGAGGCCGGTGCATGGTCAGGTCAGTAGTAGCGCGGTAGCAGCGCGACTGGTTGCCTCGAAAATTCGCTCTCCGACCCGCGAGAGAACACCATCATACCTACTTACCTGCGAATAATCACGCTGGAGGGTGTGTGTGTTTTTGTGCAGCCCCCTTTGATTAAAATATTAATTTATTGTACACATGGAGATTGAGTGGATTCAAAAAGTGCGGGTCGACCGTCTTTCTCTCTGTTGTACGCAGTTTTTATATTTTCATTGTCCTTTTCCTTTTTATCTGGCAATCCGTGATTGTTGATTAACCACTCGTACGAATGACAAAAGTACGCGTCCAAGGGAAAAATAGAGCCTCACAAGTACAAGAGTGCGTGAAAAGTAATAATAATATAATTGCCATGCTAACAAGATAGACTGCATGGCACCTTGGATTCTGGGAACTACGAAATCACAGCACTGTATTATACATATATAGATGTACTAGCGTCTGTGTATATATATGTGTGTGATATTCACGCGCGCCCCCAAAAATAGGTCGTCTGCTGCACTGTGTTGTGTTTACAGTTTGTTTCATTGACATTTCACGCGCTACAGAGCGTAAAATATACTACAAGTGATAAGAGAAGCGCGTAATATTAAACAGTGGCGCGTATCGATCGCGCTTTTTTAAATGATGCATCGCACGGCTGTCTCAATGGCAATTGCTTGTAGAGGACACCTCGAGTGTTTTAAAAATTCATGCTAACATTAGACTATACGACGACGACTCAAGTACAAGGTCAAGCAGTGTAGGGGAGGGTGTTGTATAAAGCCCGTGGCGTTTCGGTGTGATAAATAAATAAATTGTGGATAGATACATAGAGAGTGTACGAAGGACAAAATGTTGAGCGAAAAACTGAGGATATTCAGGCTGTTGCTCTACAAGAACTACCTCACCAGAAAAAGATACTGGAAGATGGGTCTCTTTGTCGAGATTATGATGCCGCTTCTCTTGTTTTTGCTGATACAGGCTTGCAGAGATTTTTCAGCCGCACAGCCTGAGAAGTTTGACAGCAATACCTACCACGAGATCAAAACGAAAACCGAATTACTCGGGACTGTCAATTACATGACGTTTATTTACTTTGTGCCTGAGAACAGGTTCACGAGGACGCTCATGGAGAAGACGAGAAACTGTCTCAAGTTTCCCGATGACAGTAAGTTTGTGCTCGAATGCCTTACTCGTGTTCTTTCTTTATGTGCCTGTAAATGCCACTCTTGTGAGTTTTTATCTCTTGACGACGCATGAATGACATGTATAAAATTACTCTTAATTTTTCTCATCTTAATGGATGAATAAAATGTATTTCACTGAATTTTATTCACGCCACCCGCGTTTATTGTGATTTTACTCGTAATGTGTTCCTGTTACATTTTCATAACATAAAAAAAAAACTTATATTCTGATTAAATTTTTACGAATGTAAAGAAAAGTTATATGTTGTTGAAAGAATCGTTGCTCGACAACAATAGCTGTAAAACAATCGATTGAGTCAATTTTTGCATTTCAAAAAAAGACCACTTTGTTTTAGAACTTACTGGTTTCAACACGGAGGAAGAAATGCTGAAAATGTACGCGTTGTATCAAACAAGATCACCGACTACCGACATTATGGCCGTAATATTTGACCAAGATCACGTAAACATTTCCACGAAACACTTGGGATATACTATACGTACCCCATACGTGATACCCAACATTTTGTACAAAATGGAAATGCAAGATCCCTCGAAAATTACTATCGATCAGGCTTTTATGGATGTCATACCGTTTGTCCAATTGCAACTGTGTCTGGACGAATCATTTATAAAAATGAAGTCTTCGAATGCAGCTTTCAAGTCGCAGGTTTATATTTGCTTTTTATTACGTTATTACGTGCGGTCGATCTCACCCCGAGAAATAACTTTTGGTTCACAGTGAATCCATTGTTTGAAAGCATATTGATCACACATTCAAAACACAAAGATTTAAATTAAGAGTGATTAGCATTCAATGAAATGTCAATTAGTGACCTTGAATTTTCATCGATTGCATCTAGTATATCAAATGAGGCAATAATCTCACTTGCATAGTTGTAATAATAAGAAACGTGTCACTAACTAGTGCTACACGTTTTTCCATCTATTAATTTTACACCCATTAGCCAAATTTATTTTCTTTTCAGGTGTCCATTCAGCAAATGCCTTACCCACCGCATGTTAAACTAGATGACAACGATCTGATCACGAGAATCATGTATTGCAGCTTTGCTGTCATTGCCTTTTTGATTCCACTGTGCATTGAGGCGACTTTTGCGGCAGATGAAAAGTTCATCGGCATAAACGTAAGTTTGGATCCGTACTGATGAAAAATGTCAAAGCATCGCTTCTTGGACAAACAACGAAATTTTCACCCTGTAATTTATATCGCAGGTTCTTATGGCGATGAACGGAGTACCGACGTATTTAAGCCTGCTGAGCTGGCTCGTTAGTGGTCTGATATTTAGTTTGTCGTACGTTACCGCGTTAATCGTATCGTTCAATTTCGCCTTCACCGACAACGTTCATCCGTATCTGTATTATGGAAACAGTTTTATTTTTTGGCTGGTACTTATTCTACACGTTGGTCATCTCATCACCTTTGGCATGCACATATCTGCGTACTTTTCCAAGTGTAAGCATATAATTTTCTGTATCTCGTATATACGTTTAATCGAATCTGATAATTAAAATAAATATTTATAGCTTTGTTCATGGTATGCGGAATCCTGGCTCTTTATGGTGGTTCAAGTATGATACAAAAATACAGTATTAAAGGAGATTTTTACTCAGTAGTACCTTATCTAGGAATTTTTTTTCCTAACGTATTGTTGTTTAGAGCATTCCAAGAAGTAAATAATTACGAGAGCATGTGTAAGTTTATCGATAAAATAAGCAATTTTATCATGTTATAAACGATAACATTGCTGGTACATTGATTATAATTTTCTGTAACAGTAAAGGGAGTGCAATGGAAAAATTTATTTTCGGTCGGAGATCCAGTCTACAAATGCGCGGGAAGTTTAGGAATGATTATGATTTTCTCGATTATTGGGACCATTTTTCATTTTGTAATGGCCATTTACATACACGCAGTGAGACCCGGAAAATATGGAGTTAAGAAGCATCCCCTTTACTTTTTAAATGTAAGTCTACTTTCTTTTTCACACACTGAGGCTTGTGTGATATTTACTACGAATTTGTCAATTTTAGTTTGGAAAAGGAAACAATAAAGTAGACTTGGATGCCGAAATGGAAGATTATGAATTCGATGACGTTGATGGAAAACCATTTGAATCCGTTCCCAAAAATGCTTTTACTCCTGGTATTCAAATTAGATGCTTGAAGAAAGAATACTGCACCCATCTGTTTAGCAAATCGGTAAATTTACTTTTTTTACTTTATTTTGGGTAAACATTAGAATAAAAAAAATAAATATACATAAAAAATTTAACCAAAAAAATATGAATTACAGAAAGTACAAGCTTTGAGAGGTATTTCGGTGGATTTTTACAAAGGTCAAATTACTGCTTTACTAGGTCATAACGGAGCTGGTAAAACTACTATGATGTCCATTTTAACAGGTAAGTTATGTTCCTAATGATATCTGGATGTATTTGAAATTAATTTTTAATATATCAATGATAATTGGACCTTATTTTAAGGTATGATAAGTCCTACCACTGGAAAAGTTTTAATTAACGGAAGGAATGTAAAATACGAGGCCAGTGCAATAATGAACGATATTGGACTATGTCCTCAAGAAAACATGCTATTTCCAAATCTTTCTGTTTCTGAACAAATTGAATTTTTCGGCATGGTAAGCGTTTTTTTTTTTTTTTTTTTTTTTTAAACTAAATATTTAATTTGTCATTTTACTCATTCAGTTAAAAGGCAAACACAAGAAATCAGTGATAAAAAAAGACGTGAATGCTCTGCTTCATAAATTAAAATTATTCGATAAGCGCAATGCATTGCCTCATCAATTGTCTGGCGGACAAAAAAGACGAGTCTGTCTGGGAATGGCTGTTATTAGCGACTCGAGTGTAAGTTTAAAATTTTTTTCTACACTTGGTATTTTAAAATTATCTGTGTGTTGCATGATCTAATCTACTGCTTACCCAATCATTAATTTTAACCATCATTGTATCTTGTATTTATTCATCCAAAGACTCTGATTTTGGATGAGCCGACATCGGGTATGGACCCCGAGTCTAGACGAGATACGTGGGATATCATACTCGTGAGTTCTTTCTTAAATTATTGATATAAATAATCAAAGACCGACGAAACTAAATCATGCCATTCGTTTTATCAATCAGAAAATGAGAGGGCAAAAGACCATTTTGATTAGTACTCACGATATGGAAGAAGCCGATATCTTGGGCGACAGAATTGCAATTGTACATATGGGCCAGCTGAGGAGTTACGGAACCTCCATGTTCCTCAAAAAATTATTAGGCCAAGGAAACATAGAAGTGACTCTATCTACCGAATCTTGGTGCGATCCAAACAGAGTAAAAAATGAGTTTTCCACCAATGGACAGATACTCAACGTTGATGGAGGAAAAGTAGTTTTGAGTATTCCGTACACACCTGAATTGCCGGACTCCTTGGATAAAATGGAGTCAAAGAAAAAGGACTTTGGCATTACGGGAATGAGCGTTTCTTTGATAACTTTAGAACAAGTATTTTTAAAGTGTGTATGAAAATCTCTTTTTTTTTGTTTTCAGTTGAAATAATCATTGTTGAATTGTTGAATAATTTTCAGAGTTACTCGAGATAACGAGGATAATACGGATTCGTGTCACACACTTCTGAATGGGGGCTTAAAATTACAAGGCCACGCCTATTTTGTACAAAGGGCTTTAGCTTTATTAAAAAAGAAATATGCGTACACCTGTAAAAACATCATAACTATAAGCCTCATTGTGAGTAAAAAAAAAAAAAAAAAGAACCGGTAAATAACAGTTTTCTCACTTACAGCTACTTCATATTTTATTAATTTTTTTACAGATTCTGTTGCCAATCATATGTATAATACTGATGACGATGGATTATAATATCTCGGGTGACGTTAAGAATTTAATACCAATGAGACTCGACATGTACAACGAGCCCGAGACTTACTTCACAAGTGACGATAGATCCATTGGGCAAAAGTACAAGTTGGTTACAGAAGAGTTTGACGGAAAAGCGACGGAAATTTCTGGTTTTTCATCCCTCACTGAAGGTAAATGCGTCAACATGAATATCTCCATTTTTTACTTTTTTTTTTTTTTTTTTTTTTTTTTACAATAGCAATATATCGAATTTCGTACCGAGAGAAATTTCTTTCGTTTCTCAAGTTACTTGCATATCAAGTTACTTCTCACTTCGTTACCACTTCAAACCGCAAATATTGACGGCTATGTAATATCCTCATTTCAATCGCGCTACCACCAAATATAAATATTCTTATTGAAATTGTCGCGGTTTACAAAAAAAAAAGTTCCCGTTGTGAAAAGAAAAATCTGTATTACAGCAATGTTAGACTTGGGCCGACGCGACATAGCGACCTACCGCAACCACCTAATCGCCGCAGCAGAGTTCAACAGCACGGGCAATGACACGTCAGCCGCGAATGCTTTTTATTCGGGCTACGCGATGTTCAGTATCCCCATCTCCATCAATCTTCTGTCCAACGCCTTGATAAAGAGCCTGGCAGGTGACGAGCACTCGATCAGCATATCCGGCCAGCAACTGCCCAATTCCCTCCAGTCGACGCTCATACCCGATGACAACGTCGACGTTTACGCTACTGTGCTGCTATTTGTGTTCTTCTTTTTCCCTGCGATAGCGTTGTTTGTCATTCACCCGCTGCGCGAGGCTCTGACGAACATTAAACAGCTCCAGAGAATGACCGGAGTGTCATGTTTCACCTACTGGGGAACGATGTTTATATTTGATCTTGCGGTCTTTCTCATAGTTATATTCTTCATCGTCATTGGCTTTATTTGTATGGATAAGGTGATAGATCTGAGGCTCTATGAGTTGACTGAGATCGGTACGTTTTCTACTTTTACTCAATACTAACGAGTTCATACAATTTTATATTTTACACCCGAATCGTCTTTTTCCAGGCATTACTGCGCTAATATTAGTCTTATTTGCGATCAACGCTCTGCCAATGATTTACATATTTAGCTTCCTCAAGAAGTCCACCAGTACAGTTATTACCATGCTCAGTCTTTTGCCGTTTGGTCTTGGTAAGTTTGTAAAAGAGCTAAGTCGAGTATACTATCAAACTCTTCTCGTTTGTACCAATATTTTATTTGCAGTTTCGTTGGAACTGATAATGCACGTAATCGCGCTAACGCTGAAACATCGAAGGATCGTCAAGATCTTGCGAGCTATACAAAAGGGCCTGTTTCTCTTCATACCCTACTTGAGCTTCTTCCACAGCAAAGTTTCGTTCTTCTCCATTGCGACTCAGAACGCTCGGTGTCGAAGATTGCCCAATTTGCTGCACGACGTTGCGTGTCTCACCAAAGACGTTTGCTGTGGTGAGAATTTTTTTTTTTTTTTCTTTTTTCTTCAATTTGTTGGAAAAAATTTTTAATCATAATTTCGTACAGGGCTCAATTGTTACAATGGAAAGTGCAAAAAGAGCCTGAGCTACTTCAACAAGTTCCAGGAAGACATGTCGCTGGAAGAAAGCTTGATTTACATGTGCTTCACACCTATTGTCTACTTTGGAATTCTAGCTGTGTTGGAGTACCAATTGATCCCGTTTTTGTTAGCAAAGATGCGCAAGGGTAAGTATCAACTTGTGGAAGATCTCCACGATGAGCAGGTGAAGAAAGAAAAGCACACGGTCGCTTACGAAATCATAAAGGCGAGAAAGATGACGTTCAAAGACGACGATAACGGGATGCTTACGTCCGTAAAGTCTGTCAAACCGACAACGAACGGCACAGTGGTGGCCGAGGAAACCAATATCCTGCCAAACGACAGCTCCAACACCTACATGTTTTACGTTTACGAGTTGAGTAAGCGGTACGGTAACTTGCTCGCCGTCGAGGAAATTAGTTTTGGCGTGAGGCAACACGAGTGTTTCGGGTTGCTCGGTGTTAACGGAGCCGGCAAGAGTACGACCTTCAAAATGATCACAGGCGAGCTTGTTCCCGACAACGGCGTCATGTACTTGGGCTTCGAGGATTACAACAAGCACAAGAGAAACGTAAGTTGTTTTCTTGATGCTTGAATTGACAACATAGAATTATGATAGCCTGCATTTTCTCTCTTAGTATCTGTCGCAGATGGGCTACTGTCCTCAAAACGATGCCATAATCAGATGCTTGAACACGGACGAGCATTTGAGACTGTTTGCTCGACTGCGGGGAATTCCAGAGGAGCAAGTTGAAAACGAAGTAAAAAAATGGATCGACATATTGAGTAAGTGGCAAAAAGGCTACTTAGAGTCATGGGTATTTGATTTTTGCCAAGAGTCGTTAAAACAAAAGTAATTTTTTTAGATTTAAACATATGTGCTTCACAACCGAGTGGAACGTACAGTGGAGGCAACAAGAGGCGTCTAAACATTGCGATGTCGCTGATTGGTAATCCAAACTTGGTTTTACTCGACGAGCCAACTACGGGCGTTGATCCTGCGGCGAGAAGATCACTGTGGAACGTGATTCAGTCGTGTCAGTCTACCGGCCAGGCTATCATATTGACGTCACACAGGTACTTTGATTTATGATCCATGAAGATACTTGGCACCAATGAAAGTTGATTATAACAATTTTTAATAATAATTTTCAGTATGGAAGAGTGCGAGGCTCTTTGCAACAGATTGGCTATTATGGTCAACGGACAGTTGGTGTGTATAGGACCGTGTCAGGAACTGAAGCAGCGTTTCGGAGCCGGGTACGATATCCAGATGAAGCTGAACCCAGAAAAAGCCATTGATGAAGTAGAATCCATTAAACATGACATTGAGCAATCCTTGAATTGTGAACTAGTTGACGAAAATTCGGTAAGAATCACAAAGTAAAGATTTTTCCCACCAACTGAAACCGCTGTTGTTGAAATTCAATGATCGTTGTTTATTTGACCACAGGGATTCCTGATGTACCACGTCACAACGTCGGATGTCTCCTGGCGTAAGATGTACGACGTGATGAGCGAACTTAGGTACAAGTACGAGAGCATCGACGATTTCTCTGTTCTGTCCTCATCTCTTGAACAGCTGTTTTTACTCTTTGCTCGTACGGCCAAGCGAAACAATCGCAAGTCCTTCAAATAGATGCCAACGAAACAATGAACGGGAATCCGTCAATTACAATATACTATGGAACCAAAGGTAAATCGATAAGGCTGAAAGAGGCCCCAAATAAGTGTGATATTACGATAAAACGAATACGCAAGTGAACAAAGACGATGACTTTGTGCTGTTTGCGTGACACGCGTTGACACGTTTGGCAAGCGACGTGTGTCGACATGAAGTTTGGTGCGTTGCGATTGTTGAAAATTGTAGTAAGTAAACACAATTGAAGTTTCAGGGGAGATCTGTGATAAAAGTCATTCGAAACATCAGTATCATTGTCAGTACTGTTCCTGTAAACGATTTTTTTACAGAAATATTAAAAAAAAAAAAAAAAATGTGTTTATGTAACCACCAACAGCGGCACAATATACTTATTACAAGTGCTCGATAATTTTTTTGAATGTATTCAAAGTATTAAGACTTGCTGTAAAAGTTGGTCTATTTGAATGAGTTTTATTACAAACCTTCCTTCTCAGTTGATTTTAGAGTTGTATTTAAGACTGCAAATTTATTTTCCATTTCGGATTCTTACACTACACGTGTCAAAGCCATTTATTTCATAAGTGCATACAAGCACTCCGAATTTCAATCTCCATTACCATTAACAATATGTTGTAAGATAATCACTAATAAACTGCCACGAAATATTTCTTAATGCACCATATTTCGTCAACACTGAGACTCACGAAGGACTTACGTTTGAAACAGTATTTATAAATCTTTAAGATGTAAGTTCAATTTTAAACTCGAGCCAAGCTGGAGTAACCTTATAAGGCTGCATCTTATTGGACCTATTGTCTAAAATATTAAAGTATGTATCAGTAAGTGGCCATGGGTGGTAATTATTATCACCAACAGCCACTTGTGTATTAGTTAATTTTATGACTCACTTCAAACACTGAGATCTGATTGTTTTGGAAGGATCTTGTTTTTATCATTAAGTAGAAAATTAATGTTGCCGTGGATTTTTTTTTTTTGTTTTTAGAATTTTTACTGTTTGGTATATTTATCATGTTTTTGTACGAAAACGAACATCGCCAAAAAGTTGTTCTAAAAATTTTTATTCTTAGATAGAAAACTCGATGTCTCGATTGCATCCGTTTTTGATATCCACTGTAGATTCCAAAAAATGAGTACTGTTGAGAAACTTCGTTGCCTGAAAAAAATGCGATGAGCTGACGTTGAAACGTATATTACGCACGCGAATCTCAATGACCTTTGTACTCTTATTATATAGAATCTGGCCGAACAAAATATGTAATTGATATATCATGTAAAAAAATGTAGTTGAAAAAAAAAGTATTATCCGCGATGTATTTGTATTGTTTACAAAACATTGTGTAAATTATAATTTTCGTTATGTGTATGCAAATGAAAATTCTGAATTAACCGCAGTATCTGAGTATAAAATGAATCTAGCAACTCTGTACATATTATTGTAATGTAGTTTTGCGTCAATGTATCGTTCATCATCACGTTGAATAATCGTAACTTGTATACGTTTAGTCACTAATACTTGTAATTTTCAAGTATTGCAAACCCAATGTGTAATGTACACAACCTGCGTTAATATTCAGTATCTCTGTACATTTAACTCATTTTTTTTTCTTTAATACAAAAATAATAAGGCTACTATAACACCGTAAGTTATATTTTTTTTCTCATATCTATTGTATAATACGCAGTATTGTAAAAAAAAAAAAAAAAAAAGAACCGGTAAATAACAGTTTTCTCACTTACAGCTACTTCATATTTTATTAATTTTTTTACAGATTCTGTTGCCAATGAAAACCAAAATACAAGATTGTCTATTGACAAAAAAAAAAATATATATATATAATGTTTTATTATACTCTCTGTATAAAATATGCTCACTTGAAACAATACGTCACATCGTTTTCCAGAGTAATCAAAAAGATTCGATCACTCTCCTCGTATCCATCATCGTCTATATAACAAACGTATATATACGTGACATGGAAACATACAATATAGACATGCAAGGAAAACTCCGTGTCCTACACGATAGTACATTTAATATGCGAAATAAAAAGATAAATGGAAATGCTCGGATATTTACATTAACGTTATAAGTACATGGGAGCAGAAAAATCGAAAAGAATCGAACACGCGTAACGGAGCCGATATTTAAAAGAAATATGATATTAAATGAGAAAAAAAAAAAAAAAAAAAAAAAACTTGCGGCAGTTCCGTACAGGTGTATTTTTTCATCGCGGCAGCTCGATTGTATATCATTGCACGACGCGCTCGTACGTCAATTAAAATAATCATAATAATACAACACAAGCGCATATATAATATGTTGTCTCGCTCAACGATTGTCATAAGCGTGTGTACGTAGAAATGTTGTACTCGATGGTCGAGAGGGTAAGTTGAGCTCAGTACTTGTACCCTCCCTGCGAGCTCTGGTAGCCGCCTCCACCGCCGCCACCGCCGCTACCGGTACCCCCGGGAAATCCCCCGCCTCCGCTGCCGCCTGGAAAACCGCCACCGCCGCCTCCACTGGGTCGGCTGCCGAAACCGCCCGATCCGCCGCCGAAGCCACCTCCGCCACCTCCCTGGTAGCCACCGCCTCTGCTACCACCACCTCCTGGGAATTTGAGAAACAGCAACAGCTTAGTGGGGACTTGGGTTTTTGTTTGGTGAGGGGATCGATTCAGCCCCGGCATCCTCAGAGTTTATTTCATTAATACTTCATTAGAAGACGTTCAGTGAATTTTCATTAAAAACATCACCAAGGAACAATCGTTACAGTATATCGCTCATCATTCACACCCCGTTCGGCTCAAATCTCCTTACTGTCCGTCCTCCTTTTATCCATACAATTATTTTTCATTTTTACTACCAATTTATAATTAGGTCTTTTTATCTTTCAAACTGTTTCTTTTTTTTCCTTTTTTTAATGACTATTAAAGTTCAATTACTTCTCTGTCACCAATGAACTTGGGCACTATTATTTTGGAAAAAAAGCTGTTTTCCTGAATAAAATTTTTTTGTGTACAATATAATATATGTTTGGAAAGATAAATTTTCGAAAAGATAAATGCAGTACATTTCACGTGTATTAAAGTTCACTCTCAAGTATTATTTAAAAAATATTTAAACACTTTTTCAACTGTTTGGCCTCTTTTATTCCCCAAAATCGTTTTTTTCTATCAAATTGTATTGCATTTTTTTTTTTTACAAGCCTCCGTAAAAAAAACAAAAAACCCTTGATTTTCACGATCCAAAATCACAACGCGCACCTTCGCCCTCAACAATAAATAAAAAAAAAAATACGCTCCAACTCACCAGCTCCCTCGCCCTTGTAACTTCCATCCTGGTTTTCTCCCCTCGCCTCAGCGGCCAGAGCCAACTCGACTCCCCGGGCGATCTCAGGTGGTACGGGCGGTGGTGTCGGCAGGTGGTTACCCGAAGCGTGGAAGCCCGTCTCGTCGGCGGTGTAGCTGACGGTGTACACCTGGCCGTCCGGGCCCGTGTAGCTGTACGAGCCGCTCACCGCTTCTGAGTTACCTGTTTTTTAAAATTTTTTTTTTTTTTACGTACGCACACGATAAGCTGGTTTGATCAGAGCTTATGTTCTCGCGTATAGTCGAGTCTTTGACTTTTCGAGTCCATTGTACAGTACAGCAGCTTAAAATTTACTTGCAACGAAGGGCAACTTTTTGAAAAAATTCCCCGTAAATTCTTCTCGGTTACCCTCCATCAGGATTATCATGTAAAAAATCATGCGTAGATTCGGTACCTATGGAAAGTAATTAAACGTGGGATATACCATCAAAACAACCACACACGAGCAGCACGATCGGGTGAGACCGGTTTTACATTAACGATCCATATCGGAAAAAATCGTCATTCACGCGGATAAGGATTCATGTCTTAAAAAAAGGCTCTTCGATCCGAAAAGTGTAAACGTTTTTGCAACGTTGCATAAGCGCGATCCCACAATGAGGAGAAAGGACACACACGCGCGCAGAGGTATAATTGAATCACTGCACGGGATGCACGCGATTTCTATTGCGCAACCGATTTTCCCTCACTGCGCGCACCTACTCCCCTCTTTCGCGTCCAAAAGCAAAAAAAAAAAAAAAAAATCAGCATCTGCCGATGCGGAACGATAATGCACACGCGGGGGCTTATCGAGTGATTATCGCGCGCTCGAAAATTTAATTTACTCGATCTGTACCCCCCCCCCTCCACCAGCATCAACATTTACGATCGCCGATAAGCGCTTGTCCCGGGAAAACCAATCAATCAAAACCCAAAGGCAAATATATCTGTTTCTCGAGGGGAATAACCGATGGATCATCACGTGTATACTACGTGTACGGCATACCAACGTGTAATTTTCGTGAGAAAGCTCGGCGCAACGCACGATTACGTGCAACCTGTATGTATATACATCAGCCACGTAGGTACAGAGGTTGGGGTACATATATACCACATACATGGGCTCATTATTATATCTTTTGGTGGAGGTGAGGGAACGGAGAGAGGATTCGCGCGCGAGAGATGTATCATTACACTGTAAACTCTCTTTGGGTGTAGGTACACGTGTGTGCAGGGTTACGTATGTACCTACGGGTGGCTCTTCTTTTTCAGACATTTTTTTCATTCGATATAATATACCCTATGTGTATATTATCTCCGTGAGCGGTGTTTATTTGTTTTTCCTCATTTTCATCCGAAAATATTTCGGTCTTGTAGGTTGACTCGATGGAGTGTAAAGGTATAAGGCGGTGATTTCTCGACATGGTTGTGCTACGGCTTTAGGCATTTTTTTTTTTTTTTCCTCATATACCTTGATAACTCCGAATCGATATAGAAATTCCAACAAAACTTGCAACAAATTTAGCAATAATTTTATTGATCGATACTTCTTCCGATGGACGACTTCGTAAGGGATCCGTTGAATGATATAATTACAATGATTACGGCATTGAAAAAAAAAATGAAGAAAAAAAAAAAAACTAAGTGGTGTTCAGCCAATTACAAAATTTATCCTCGCTTGGACGTATTTCCGATCAACCCGATAGACTTGGAGTTGCCGTAGACTGAAAGGGAAACGTTTACCAGGACCAACCGTGGAGTCCTTTTTAAACAAATTTCCCTCGAAATAAACTTTAAAAGATTTTTTTTAACGTTCGGTCGCGTTGTTGCAATGGCCAAACATTGCATCCATATAATATGTATGTATAAAAACAAACTCATTGAAACAACGAATCAAACCTATATATTGTATGGGATGGTATTTCCAATCTATTACAGCATCGTTTGGACCGCGCGAACGGAACATTATCGAAATAAGTGTACAATGTAGAAGAAAGAAATTGGAAACTACGCTATTATATGGACCCTGTAATGCACGGGTATATACGTACACATAATGTATACGCGCGTGTCTGGCTCTGTATATATACAAGTGAGCTATTTCAGGCCGCACAGGGGGGTAATTGAACAATGAAAGCCATTATATATAGGCAGTAGTGCAGTACACATGTATATCTACGATACGCTAGTACATATGTGTACAATGCACCTGTAGGTATACATATACATACATGGACCATTTATAGCTCACAGTCATAAGTTGTCTACATGATTCGGTACATGTATACCAATATAAGTAAGAGGCGGCTGACGTAACCGGTTCGCTTCTACTGAAACACATGTGCGGCAAGACATGGAGAATCGTTTGTTTTGTTTTTTTCTCTCTTTCTTTACGTTGGTTGAAAAAAAAAAAAAAAAAAAAAGACGATCATTACATCGAAAATCGTCGCGTTACGGTTTTCCTCTACTTTATACGTACGAGGGGGTTAATTTTTACTCAAGTGGCTCGGATCGCCGCGATCAGTCGTACAGGTACATAATATGTATATAACATGTATACGTACGTGTGAATGTACTGTAACCCTATTATGTAGAGTCGTTTGAGTACTCTGGTGATGGTATTGAGCAATTTTTGGTTTTTTTAGCTAAGAAAATAAATAAACGAAGGGTCGTTACTGCGAACGGACTATTGTATACCTTGCCGGTATCTTATAACATACGCGATTGTTATAATGTTACCACGTATACCTATACACGTATAAAGAATGTTGCAATGCGTCGCAATATACTTTGGTTCTTACACTCGCGCGTGTCCGTTTTATTTTCCCCGTGTATATACCTATTATCGAGGCACACACCCCTGCGATCGTCATTATACCCACCGTCCAAATGGTAGTTATGTTGCCATGTGGTTTTTATATATTACGACTTGTGTTATTACACGTTTATCAAGAGAAAAATGATACGATCCCAATTAATGTTGCACACGCGAGGGAGGTATTGAGAGAAACCGGCCGGTGGTTTGAATTTTGTGATGTAAAAGAGCACGATTGTTCCAATGCAAAACAAATTGGGTTGGAAAAAAAAAAAAAAAAAAAAATTGTCTACTTTCACTAACACATGTATTTATCGTTTCGGGGATAACGGTACACAGTGAAAAACCGAGCTCTCGATTGTCATTAAAGTTAATAAAAATAAATAAAATTAAAAAAAAAAAAAAAAAAAAGTTAGACTCACTCGGTGTAGCGATGTCGGTTAAAAACTCACCCTGCGCCTGTCCCTGTTCCTGCACCTGAATACCGTTGCCGGTCTCGTAGCTGTACCTGTAGTTGCCGTCGCCCCCGTTCTGAGCGTCGAACGCCACTATCGGTATCGGCGGTCCGCCCCCGGCTCCAAAGCCACCGCCGCCACCTCCAGCCGCTCCCCCGAAGCTTCCGCTCCCTGCTCCGCCGCCGCCACCACCTCCCGGCCGACCTCCGAAACCTCCCCCACCTCCGCCTGCAATCACGCGAATTTTTATGGACGATGAGACTAAATTGTCAACGGCGCTGTGGTGAACAGGGACCGACCGGGACCACCGGCGCCTCCACCGAAGCCTCCTCCTCCTCCACCAGCCGAGAAGCCACCGCTGCCAGCACCCGGTCGAGCTCCGAATCCGCCGCCTCCACCACCTGTGCGTGGAAAAAACTTTATTTTATCACGGACGACTCAGGAAACAAAGTGCGCCGAACGATACAAAAATCGGTGGTGTGTATACCTCCTGAGCTGCCGAAGCCAGCCCCGGCCCCGGGTCGGCTGCCAAAGCCCGGGGCTTGGAGGCCGCTGCCACCGGCAGATCCCGCGCTACTGGGCGGTAGGTATGTGTTGTCGAGTCGGGCGCCCAAGGACGTACGGGTCGCCGCGAGCACCACTGCCATCAGTAGGGCGGCTGACCGCTGCTGCAACCGAAGGAAAAGCGTATACCAATCGCGTGTGTCTTGGATGTCTTGTACGTTATTTTCATCTTTTTTTTATTTCCAAGGTTAGAAGCTCCAAGAAAAACGACCGGTATCTTGGGTAGTTTTTCCGGTTGAACGGAGCCGAAAAATTTGAGTTTAATCATCCGAACCCTTGACCCGTAGGATGAAATTTCAGTAACGCTTTGACCATTAAAGTTTTTCACTAGTTTTTCAACTCGAGAGTGATTTTTGGTACAGGGAAATAGGGCGTTAAATAAGGCTTACGTTGCGATTTTTTTTTATTATTATTTTTTTTTTTACTCCAATTTTTTAGCTTCGTTCATAATTTTACAACAAAAAACGCGGGCGTTACCCCTTACTTGGAACAATTGGAACGGCGAGCGGTGTCTTTTTTATAGAAAAACCAAACGATTCGCATCGATTGCAATTTAAAACCACTCGATTAAGATCATAATGAATACATAATCACTTTGCACTTTGAATATTCTTTGTCAGAAATGACGAGATAACCAGAGGCTATAATTCCAAAAAATTGCATTTACGAATAATCCTAAAGTATATTACCGTCAATCGTAAATTAACCGTTTTCGTACTAAATTAATTTTGTTTTTTATTCTGTCGTCAGCTTACGAGTTCTTGAATATGATTAATTCAGTTTATTTTGTTTATTTATTATTATTATTATTTTTTTCTGGAAAAAAAGATACACCGATCGAACTGCGTTGAGTTACCGCGTAAGTGATTTTAATTAACCATGGAAATCCACTTTGGTCTTTTTTTTTTCACAGTTCAGGACACTTTGAAACTACACTTTGGCGAGCACACTTACTGGTCACTGTACACTCAATCCGAAGGTTTGAATATTTCTTTTGAAGCTGTAGAGGATTTATAATAAAATTACAAAATACAAAAATGGATGAATTTATCTGTATCGCTGCGTAACGGATACCGAAGTCGTGATAAGTCGATGGTGAAGATTTGGTAAACCAATTATATATTACCGCAACGTCTCAATTACGAACAAATTTTTATTTTTTTTTTCGTACAAACATAACGCAATTTTTCAAACAAACTGTAGATAGAGTAAGACTCAAAAACCCGAGATCCGTACAATGTATCCTGGCCCGTTCTTGTAAAAGACCGAAGGACCAGCTACGTAAAATCTCCATACGGGCCTCCATACTATTGACGAGCAATGAAAAATTTTCATGTCATTTGAATAAACGCAAAAGTACTATTTCTAATTAAAAATTCTTTGTGACGTTTTTAGATTGGCTCTGTTTCAACATCAACAACAAAAAAACGTCAATTCAAGGAATGGAAAAAAACGGCCCCAAGGGTCTCCAAACACAAAAACAAAAGGCCCCACAACAAAAAAAATGTCAATTCAAGGAATGGAAAAAAATCGGCCCCAAGGGTCTCCAAACATAAAAACAAAAGGCCCCTCTCAGCAGTTTACCAGCTTCATGTTGACTCCTGGCTCGTGCACGATCCCCCTGAACTCGAACGGGCTCCTTTGTTGGTGCACAATCAGCGACAAAGTAACAAAACCAAAAAAAGTAACTTCCTCTTGTTGCAGAAGAAAAAAAAAAAAAAGAAAAAAAGAAAAAAAGAAAGCAATGAAAAACCAAAACGCGGCAAAAACTAGCAAGAGATGTTTGGCGCGACTGGGCCGTGCGTGCGCCACGCTATTGTCGCTCTCTGGCTGCTCCCGCGCCAACTTTTATACGCGAGAGCGCCTCTCCTCCTCTGCACCAGTGAAAGAGCAGAGCATCATCGTCCTCTCACCCGCCACCGTCGACTCCTCCTCTTCCACCTCCGATGCACTACTCCTTTTCTCTCGTGGCTCTGCTGCACTTACCCGTACTGGATCATTGATCTACGAGTCGATGTATATTTTATCGTGGTTATATGTCCGCTCGTTGATGCTATTTGCAAATATTTTTTGCTCGGGTCACAGGATGATTGTGCCGAGGGGATACACGGGGTACCTATGAACGCCTTGCTAATCGTCATCGCCTGGGTGAACGAATTTTTTTTTTTTTTTCCTGGGCCTTTTCATCTGGGACAGAATAATCGTGGAGGATATTCGCGATCGAGTAAGTTACTTACACGATGTACAGTATAAATCGGCGTCCCCTGCGACACCATTTGAACTTACTTTTTCATGCTCGAGAAAAAAATGATGATTAGTATCGGAAGAATCGAGCAAATGTCATGTTCACAGGTTTGGTATGGATGTATGTACCATAGGGGCGGACGATGGTTGGGACTCTTGATTTTTTCGGGGGAGTCTCGCTTGGTGGCGTTTCGCAACAGGTGAAGAGAGGAGCGCCAGCTTGTCTTGTCCGCGTATATTACTCACATGCGTCATCGCGGGAATGTTTTGGGGCGCCGTTCGCATGAATAGCATTGCATACGGGTTCATCTAAGTATTATTATTGCCAACCTAGTTTGTATGGCAAGTCGATGTGACATTTGGTGTTTATGGACAAATATGGTACTTTTTTTTTTTTTTTTTTTTTTTTTTCAACACCTACTTTTAATTGATAACCATGTGGTCGTGTGGGTACACCTACAAGTTATAGTTTTCTGTACTTGAAACAATAATAACAAAGAATATCTTCGTATGTATACACATGCACCTCTGATGCAGGCACCAGTAGTTTCTTTACCATCTTTCTGTCTTCCCGTGCACATAACTGCAAGTACATTACGTACAATAATAATACAGCATAATTATAGCACAGTGTGTGCCCATTACTCCTAATTTAAAATGTTATACAAAACACAATAATAATCATGATAATGACGATGATTGTACACATATAATATAATAATTTTAGACCCGTTCGTGCTATTCGCGTGCATGTACATGTGTGCACAGTGTATGTACACAAAAGCGCGCTTAAATCCATATTTGAAAAACAAATGGTAGGCCAACTGCGTTTCTCTGAAAAAACCATACGTGCAAAATCCTAGCTCTTCTCGATTTTTTACGACGGGATTTTAATGTTCCTCCTCCGTAGCACTACTATGCACTACTGCTCTTCATCTTTCACTAGGAGGAAAAAAAAAAAAAAACAGCCAGAAGCGAGGTCCGCGCGAAGGTCGCGACTTTTTCCATCTGGCCTATTTGCGGTCGGTGCGCATTTTTCTCCCTTTTCGCGTGCCGTACTTACTTCGTTTCTCATCCAAACGAGAGCTCCCGAGGCTCACTTTCATCACGGCAGACTCTTTGGATTGCAATTTTTTTCCTTGCTATAATTTACGCATGTACACAGGGTTGGACGAAGCTTGCCGATTTTCTCATCATACATATAGAATCGATATTAATTCAGCTTACGGGAGTACGTATATTAAATTTAAGCACATAAGTACTTACGTTACGAGATAAGAGTGGCGCAAGTGCGTATATATAATGTATATTTCGTATTAAATCGTGTACCTATGCCAAAAAATATATAAAGGATGGATATAGGTACATATATAAATGGAGTAACATCATCCTGCAGTGGCTAAAATAATCGTTACATAATTCCTCCTTCGCATCTATGTAACATATACTTGATATATGTGCAGACGTGTATATATATATATATATATATATATATATATACAGTTATATATGCGCATCGGTGCTAAAGTACCTTCATAACTCTTCTTCGGAGCCGTTGCGCTTTTGATGCGCGAAAGCATGTGAGATACAGTCGAAAGTTATTAGACTCCGCGATGCCGATGAACGTCTCAATAAAATGTCAATGTGTAGACGGGCTTGCAGATTTGTCTGTGGATATACGCGTCGGTATACATATATGCATGATAAAGAGACCTTGTTTTGATACAATTAATCAGTTTCGGGGATAAACAGTGTCTTGGAGTGGGTGTAATACATGTATGTACGACAGGGTCTCTTACAAATTGTGAGATGAAGGAAAACAAAGGCTTTCGCGTCTCGGGCCATTTAGATTTGGAAATTTATGTAAATAATGGAAATACCGAAAATGATAAAATTCGTTTGTTTCGACAGACATTATTGCAACGATGGATTTTTCGATCGGGTTGGAAAATTGAGGTTTGTAATTTATATTTTTAATGCTTATTTCATATTTTTTTATTTGAAAATGTTACATTTTCAACAAAAGTACGTTTATCTGTGTTTTTACACGTTTTTCGGAGCTCTGCAGAAAATATATTCAATATACAATATATATGGTACAGGGAAATAGGGCGTTAAATAAGGCTTACGTTGCGATTTTTTTTTATTATTTTTTTTTTTTTTACTCCAATTTTTTAGCTTCGTTCATAATTTTACAACAAAAAACGCGGGCGTTACCCCTTACTTGGAACAATTGGAACGGCGAGCGGTGTCTTTTTTATAGAAAAACCAAACGATTCGCATCGATTGCAATTTAAAACCACTCGATTAAGATCATAATGAATACATAATCACTTTGCACTTTGAATATTCTTTGTCAGAAATGACGAGATAACCAGAGGCTATAATTCCAAAAAATTGCATTTACGAATAATCCTAAAGTATATTACCGTCAATCGTAAATTAACCGTTTTCGTACTAAATTAATTTTGTTTTTTATTCTGTCGTCAGCTTACGAGTTCTTGAATATGATTAATTCAGTTTATTTTGTTTATTTATTATTATTATTATTTTTTTCTGGAAAAAAAGATACACCGATCGAACTGCGTTGAGTTACCGCGTAAGTGATTTTAATTAACCATGGAAATCCACTTTGGTCTTTTTTTTTTCACAGTTCAGGACACTTTGAAACTACACTTNATTTATGATTGTTAAAAAAATTTATTTGAAAAAATTCAATATTTTCGATGGAATTTCGCTAAAGTATATCAATTTCGTTTCCAACAAAACGGACGGAGCTATTATTTTTATTAGATTTGATGTAACACTCCTAAGCGTATATTTTTCTTGGTCAAAAACAAAACAACGACGAGGAGTAGAATATGGTTTTTTAAAAGTCCAAGTTGGTGTGCCATATAAAAAATTAATGTGTCCCTCAATCTGATGGTTTACGAAAGATCTTAGCATATGTATACATGTGTAGAATAAAAAAGTACCCATCTCACACACTAAACAAGGAAATTGTGTTGTGTCTACAGGTATACTGCGTGCGACCATAGTAAACACATAATATAGTAACAGGGGTATTATGCAAACTAAGGGTACATTATGCCCACGTGTACACGAGTATATGCCTTATCTGATGGCAAATCTCGATTGATGTCTTAATTTCCTCGTAAATGGGAAATTTGGTATTTTTTCTGTACAGCGTTTGTTAAGTTACGAATTTTAGGAATGATTTTTTCCCACGGCAGTTATTGAACAATATTTTTTTCATGCCCTAAACTTAATAAAGTTTTGCGAGCGTAGAATAAATGTCACGTAAAGCTCATCAGGAGTACAGAAAACGCACCCAAAATTATTGCACCTGAATAAAATTAAGGATCAACAGCCAACCTCCTGCCACTGCAGCCCCACATAACAATAATATTGAAACTTTCCGTCTGTAGCGACACAGACATCGGAAGTGAACTTTCCCATGCACCTGGAGCCAGCTTCTCTGAGGTGTGCTCGAAATGAAAAAAAAAACAAAAAAAAAAAAAAAAAAAAAACGCAGGAAGGCAACAACAGACTGAGTGCAAGCAAGTGCGTGCACGAAAAGCAAAGGGAATCAGAGCGCGGGTGTGCTTTTGTGTGTAACCGAGTTTTGCAAAAGTCACACGCTCAAAGGAGGTTGGCGCGATACGTTGCGATAACCCTTTGCTTCTCTTTCTCCTCCAGCTCTTCTTTGCCGAGTACATGAATATACATCTGATATATGCACAAATATGAGACACATGCACGTGCCGTTCATAATGCAATTACGGAGACACAACATGTGTATCATGAAAAAAAAGACTTTCCAAAATTCTTAGTCCAAGTACTTACTTCGTTTAAAAAGAGTTTTAAAAGATAAAGTTGATAAATTAAAAAAAAAGTTGATGTTTTTGATGAATGAGGTGTTTTTTTATTTACAGCGACTATTTGATTCCTGCACAACTTATTGACTGGACACTTATTGACTGGACTGGAATTTTTGTTGTTAATAGTATATAATTTGACTTTTATGATAATATTTCATAAATTGTGAAGATAAACATTTTAATATAATTTTTTTAACTAGCATATACTAAACATTTTTTATCATACAAAATATAAAAGAAAAATATTTACAATAAAAAGTAGAAAAACAGAACACAAAAATATTGAATTTTCCAATCAAAAAATAACAGTTGGAATTCAAGCCTTAATTAAATTTATTACTTGATTTTCTGCTTCTCAAGCGAATATTTGACCATGATTACAAGTTAAATTACAACTGTGAGAGTAACAATACTATTTTTAATTTTTTAATATTAGTTTGTTAATTTAACCAACTTTTAATTAAGAATTCTACTTAAGTATTGATTAAAACAACTTGCAATCAAGACCAAAACTGAATTATTTATTTAAATACATTTTTATTGAAGCGGTTAGTTAGTGGAAACAACTCTTATTAATAAAAAATCTGTAACATAATTTAATAAAATGAATGCTTTTTAGTTATGTATTAAAAACAAACAAATTAGAAAAATAAGTATTTTGTATATGAAGTAACTCTCATTTTACAGGTACTAATATTATTGTAAATAGAATTATAGGATAAGCAAAACTAAACTTAAAACGGTTGACAAAATAAAGAGATTTTTCAACAAAATTTAATTTTAATGTGAATAAATTTTTTGTTCGAGCATTAAACGTAAAAATAATATAATATAATACATTCTTATGTACAGTTGGTGCAAAAATTGTTTTTGTAAAAATCAGCAAAATTCATTTTGTAGATTGAAAAATGAAACATAATTAACATTAATATTACGGATATTAATAAAAAAGGGAAAATTATATTCAATTTATTATTAGGGTTTCATACATTTATTATTATTTTAAACGAATGAAAAAATTTTCTATTTGTCATATACTTTACCCAATTACCACGACTTGTGACAATTCATGTAATAAACGCTTCAAACACGAGTTATTGCGAGTCTGGTATATACAAGTGCCTACTAGGGTATTAANAAGAAAATATATTTATGTATTTCAGAAAATCAGCTCAAAGCCTTTTGACTGAATGAAAACTGCTAAATTTTTACGGATAATATCAATAAAAGACTCTTTCAAGGCTTCAACAAACACAAAAAAAATGATCAACAATTATTCGTATTTTTCGATACCATACCAACGATTTCTTTGCCGAATCACGTATCGTCACGTAAAATTGCTAAACCCCATAGCAAACGTTGACATCACCTTGTACCCGCGCTCGTACGAACTATATCATATTTTATGCACATGCACGACGCGTTTTGATTTTTACATCGCACAGACGGAGGAGAAGGTGCATCAGTCAAATTAGAACTCGTGTAACTTTCGGATCTCACGTGTAGTATGTGTATAGGCCAAAAAAAAAAAAAAAAAAATTGCCATCGTTAAAAGGTGCGTACACATATACATGTGCCATAATAAGCTGTTACAAAAGCTGCGAAATAGGTGCACACTTATTGTGCAACTTTTCGCGAAGTGCCGATCGATCGGCGAGGCTCTTTTCCCCTCGGCCGCGATCATCTTAGTTTTTCACGTGAGCTCGTAATGGTATGCACCAGCGAACGGCTCGCGTCGAATTTGGCTGTCATCCATTCGTGTGCGATATGATATTAGACGCGTTCGAGTAATGCGTATTTAAGTGCACGTCTTTCGTTATTACCGGCACGTATAGACCGGAGGATCGGGGCTTCGTCTCTTGCGTCACGCGCTACTCCGAGGAAAAGATGGGACGGGCAAGGAAATTTCGTCTCGAGTTCGATGCATCCTCACGTGGGAGGTAATGCTTTTGCCGATCGGCCGAGTTGTCGATTGCTTTTTTTTATAAAACGAAATCTACCAAATATACTTAAAATCGATAATTTACACTTTAAGCCGAAAGTAATTATTTTTTCTTGTGCATATAAACACATGGGATGAAGCGAAATTTCATCGTCTACGTGGTATCTTATCTCGCGAGAAATCGGATTATTACGGGCCTAATTAAATAACAGGAAATCCAAGTTAGCGTTTCGAAAATCCTTGTAAATTGTATACCTAATAATGTGGATAACGAGGATTCACTCGCTTATTTGAAATATAATAATGACGAACGGCAAACATAAGCCAGACGTTTTAATAATGCAATAATTACGGTATTTTTAACTTGGCGCTCTTGTACGGTACGTGACGTAACGAAGAAAAATTATTTTGAAACTGTATCCGCACGTGCGTGCTGACTTTAGAAAATATATACCTCAAAAATTGCCTTTTCCGCGCGTAATGGGCCAGCGCACCCGTACCAATCGCTCATAAGCAAAAATTGAAACGAAAAGAAAAATTTGGTCTCAGTACTCGAATCTATGGCAATTAGCTGCGATCTCCACTATCGCGTTACTTTTAAGTTTAATTACTTGAGCAGTTCTCGCGAGTTACGTCATTTTATTACGTTATCGGGATCCCTTGGCCGATCATCAATTATCGCGCCTCAGCATCCGAATCGACGTGTTCGATTCCATCGACGCCGACGAGATATCAATTTTCAATCATCCGCAAGATTTTTCACAGTATTTCCAGCAAGTCACAATTGGAGGGTGCTCGAAAATATATTTGCGAAAATTCGTCTAGATACGAGACTTGCGAAATTCCGAGAGACGCTTGTCTCTCAACGGAAAAAAAAAAATATAATATAATAATCATAATTAAATGCCACTCCAATAAATTGTTCACGCAACGTGTGGCAAGAGCAATCCGATCGGTCGTCGATAGTAGAAAGCAAATTGCCGGCTGCCATCGGTATGTATATATGCTGCACGAGGTAAACACGATCATGGCATCACGCCTCCTATGGAGGTTCTTTTGTACCACCTCTCGTCTATACATGTATATATGTATATGTATGTATAAATATGTATGTGCATTCTCGAAGAATGCAATATTACTTTTATTAGCCTCTTTGTACTCTTTTTAGCTAAATCAGAGGGATATTCCACTGTTTGTAGTGAACACTAACTGATCGAAGTAGTTTCAATGGGGTTACTGCACAAATCAGTGACTATGATAGGTATAGGATAAAAATTAGCAAAATAAATTTTCCCAACAAGCCTTTATTTATCAATTTAAATTAAATAAATTGTTTTTTTGAACAACCTGTATGCGACAGTAATTCAATGCCGAGGGTGCGACTGTTTTTGGTTCTGATGGATCTAAATTAATTGTTTGTAATCATTGCATTTAATTTGGTCTTTATAATTTCAATTTTTTTTAACTATCCCCCCCCCCCACCCTCTGAGTTATAGTGTGTTTTTAGTTTGATAGACGAAAGCTTGTCTTTTTTTTCTATTTTTTTATACTGTCATATTATACTTTCAACATTATTTAAACATCGAATCATTTTGGTTAATGGCAATATTAATCGAGTTGTGGAGGGTAAGTTATATTACATCTTGGAGCGTCTAACAAGTTAGATTTGTATATCTGTGTCGCCTACCTTATCATACTCGTCAAATACTTTGATTTAATACCCATGCCTTAAGGGTCCTTGAGAGTAAATTAATTCACTATCTTGTGGTGTTCATCACAATTAATTCAATATATTGTCATGAAGCTTACTGTATTATATTTATGATGTGTTTGTATTTAATGCACAGTCAAAGGGATTGTAGGGGATTAAGCCGTCTTCCATTTTCCGGAAAATCGTATCACTTGGGAAATATCCCTATTTTTTTGTTTCTTGATTAACTAATTATTTTTTGAGCAACAGTAAATTAAAAATTGTTGTGTAAATTTTTCATGAGCAATGTGCACTGTTGATTTGTAACATGTTCACTTGTTATCTACATGCTATCAAAAAGATAAACACAAAATGTTTCAAATTGTGCATTATGAAACTAGTGCGCAACACGAGTGTTAATTAATACAAAAAATTAATTGCTTCAGGTACTGACATTTTATTTTCAAAAATTTTTTTTTTTAAATAACATTTACTAATTACACAGATGATGTACATATTTATCTTTCAGTGAAAAGATACGTTGCAGGGTTTTTAAATAATGTATAATAACTCAATTACAATAAATTAGACATCTTCATATTGTGGTGTTACAATGCGTCCTTCGGAGATTACTCCTAGAGGCGACAGAATGGCGAAGTAAAATGGCTTGTTGATATTTATATGATCCATATAATTGTATTGACTCCCAGGAACTTCTATTAAAAATTTATTAATTAATAAAACAATCTCTAGCTAATTTGCTTCATTTAAAAAATGTATATGTTGTGCTTTTTACCGTACATGTTTTTTCTATTATATTTACTGGCCGTTTCGTTAACAACAATAGCAACTTTTTGAACGACTCTGTCAACTTTCAGCTTCACATTTTCCGCGATGAGCTTGAAATCGGCTCGATCACTGCTGAACATATCGGTGGCACCCATCTAGAATTTAGAAAACGTTATATATTCGTATCATTACCAATTCAATTCAATCTAAAATTTTATTAGAAATATACCCATGCTCTAGACTAAAGTTTTTAGACAAGGAACACGACTTTTTTTAAATCTCAGGTAAAAAACATGACGCTTTTAGTTTTTCAAAAAAAATTAATTTTCTTTTAATTTGCTTAAAAGAATTTATAATATTTTTTAAGATTTATTGCAATACTAAACGAACGATATATTATGAAATCCGCATGTACAAAATTATTTTGGAAAGTTATTAATTCAAATCGTTGAATAAATATGTACACAACATTAAGAAATAGTTTTCTCGAAAACATTGAATGGTAACGTTTTTCGCCAAAAAGTTATCAAAAGGTCCGTTTTTTTAGCTAGAAAAAAAAATGTGTAGAGATTACCTTTTTCAAAATAGGCTCGAGATTGATGCTGCTCCTCACAGTAAATTTTGGCATGCTCAACCTTACTCTAGAGAAACTATTAATACTTTCGAGTATGTGGTAGTCGATGTCTTTTAAATGTCGACCAAGCTCTTCGAATTTCGTCTCGACGAAGTAATCGTTGAGAGGCATGACAATGATGATTTTGTAACCTCGTTTCTGTACTTGTGAAGCAATTTTTTTTTTCATAATGCAGTATAATCTGTTACTTACGAGAGTTTCAATAAATGAAAGTACTACAACTCACCTTGTATGGAAGTTCAATGAACCGAGCGTAAAATTTATCGATAATTCCGTTATTCAACATAATACTAGGATTACACATCATAGGTACTTTTATTGTATTTCCTCCAAACTGATAAAAATCTTGTTCTTCCGTTAAACTAGGGTCAAATGGCTCTTCCCAATTACCGTAGTAGTATACTGCATTAAATGCAACGAAGCTTGTGGTGTTGGTTACATCATCTACGCAGAAAGAAAATACAAGATTTAGATTTTATTTACGCTCTAATTTAATAACATGTTATTATTTTGTAAAACGTGATCGTTACACAGTTTAGCCAAATCCAAAAAAGCTGTCCAAAAGTCACAACGTTTTGTAAACGATATTAATTCATTTGAAAGGTTTTTTCCGGAGTCACTAATTACAAATTTCTTATGAAAATTAAGATTTTCAAAATGGCGGATCTAACACGGTAAACATAACCTTACTTAGAAGTTAAGAACTCCAGTAAATAATACAAATATTATTATTCAGAAGTGTGGGGGTTTTTATATTACGAGTTATGCATTATTTGCAAGATTCAATTGTGTTGTTTGTATTATTAATTTTCAACGCATAATTACTTTATAATTTAGTAAAATGAAGTAACAATAACCATTCAAAAACTTTCAATGCATGTAAGTATCCAATGATTTTCGTAATTAAAAATCTTTTCTACTCTATTTTTGAGCAAATTAACGGGAAATAAGTCCAGGAGTTATTTTTAGTTGGAAAAATTTCAACATTTTTATTCTCATTGACGAAGTTTCAGTTTTTCAACGTTTGTACAATGTTGGGGACTAATACAGGAGGAATAATAAAATAAAACTAAGGTAAAAAAAAAACTTAAGATACAAAAGTAGTGATAAATGTGATTTAATACGTATTATGATGGATACGCGAAGTAGTTCTATAAAATTACCTTTCTTGAGAATTTTTTTAATTTTATTATTTGTCATGCCACGGACCCATTTGTTTGCACCTGCGACGAATATCGACGAATTTCTATCGATCAAGTGAATTTCATTCAAGTACATCCTTCTCAGGATACTAATGAAGTTCTTTCTTATTTTTGACTTCTCGTGTACGTAAATTTTGTTGGCAAGAAAAAAAGTCACTTTTTTCATGTTCTGTACGAAAAATCGATAAAAAATAAATGGTGATTTTTTTTGTGCTAGTTGAAGTAGTTGAAATAAGATGATAAAAGTATACAACGTACGTCAACAGCGTCCATGAGTAGAGATGAGCCGAGCATAAAATTGAACCGATTGTACTTGAGAAAAAGCACTTCACGCAGTTGTGTGAGGGTATTTTTTCGCGCTCCAAGAACTACCAAAGTCAGTATGGCGTGAGCACCGGCGGGTGAACAGACCACGTTTTTGTCCTTTCGAATTTCAAGTGCATGCTGAAAAAACAACATAAAATAATTTTATGCCGCTATCAAGACTTTTTACAACCTTGTCTCATTGTAATCTTACATTCGTGAAATTTTTTGCGAATTTCAAACCACTTTTGACAAATTTCAACCGTTGTTTCTTATTTTCCAATTGTCTTGTTTGAAATCTGGCCCCCATCACTTCTGAAACTGCTGATGAAACAAGCAGTACTGATAGTAAAATTTCTATAAAAAGTAAAATGTAACGTTTAACTTACGAATCAAGTGTTTAATAGTTTATTTAAAGAAGTGTCCTTAGTACCTCATTCATCCAAATATGACTTTGTTTTTAAATAAGTACAAAGTTTTACTAAAATTGCTAATACTTAAAAACTTCAAATAAAAATAATCAAAAATTAATAAATAAACAAAATAGATAAATAATGCTTATCCTTATAAAAATTTTTTATTACTCACAGGTTTTACAGTAAGTCAATAAACTGTTTTGCGATAAAAAAAATATACGACAAGGTTTTAAAAAATTTTAAGTTTGTTACTTTGTAACGTTTATTTTTATCTTGTAAGTATGTGCGTGTAATATTTCAAGCTCTAACATTAAATTTAAAAAAATTAAGAAACAATTGAACGAAAAAGTATCACGCCACAATAAATGTTTTTGTATGTTTTTTTTTTAAACTCATGAGATACAAAATTTTGTTGACATTTAAAAAATAAAATAGATACTGTTAGCAGAACTTTGAATATTTTGAGAAAAAAAACTCAATTTTTGAAATCATCAAATAACTTACTGTAATTCATTGTTGTCGTACGTTGTCTGTATCTCTCTGTGTTTCAATGGGCTCTAAATGCAGACAAAATGCTACCTCTTGATACTCTATGTAAAACACATTAGCTAGTTGGTGATTGGTTAAAATTGGTCACATGGTTTGGTTGGCGGGGGTTTTCAAAAAGTCAAATTCATTAAATTGTAGCAATATGTCATTAAGATGATACGGATTTATACCACTTGATTTTATTATTTAATTATAATTATAGTTAATATGACATTAAAAAATGCGTCATAAGTGACTGAAAAGCTATAGTCATTTTTATTTATATTACATAAAAAGTCACATTATTGATGTCAACATAAAAATTGTATGCTTTTGATGTGTAGTACGGTTGTTTTCATGGATAAAAAAATTAGCGAAGATTTTTACTAGTCAAAGTAATTATATAAGTGGCAATAATGCAGATTGGATATGAATTCAGAGTATTCTGATTAATTTTTCGCAAAATATAAATTGTTTAACAAAGGGGTGAAAATACGACGACTAAGGGAACTAAAAGCTTATTGGGAAAAGTTGAAAACTCATGTGATTAAGTACGCTACAATTGAAACAACTTTTTCAAGAACTCATTAAGTAAAGGCTCTGTAGCAACATTTATAAAAAGTTTCCCCCAGTAAACAACTACTTAACATGCACTGAGTCGATGGATCAATATGTACCCTAATTATGATTCGTTTCCACGTATGCATCTAACAATAATCCAATCACTTATTTACATTGATGAAATGATAATGTTTGAGATTAAGCTTAACATGATAAAACTAAAGAATAGGGAAATTACTATAGTTTTACATACTCATTTCATTCGTATTGCTAACGCTTTTTTACTCCAAATTCTCATTTGAAAAAAATAAACATACATCCAGAAAAAGGGCAAAGCTATCAGCATACTATAAAAACAAGGTATAGTACACCCATAATGTTAAACCCTGATAACCCTGTAACCTTAGCTCTCCAAATTTTCTGGCTTGCACAATCCTATAACTGTCGAAATCTCACAACCCTTAATAAATAATTAATGGAATAAATTTTTTCATATCTTAATGACTGTGAATAAAATTCATTAACTTCATAAAGACAAAACATAAAAATTAAAAAAAAAAAAAAATTTATTCCGGAAGTTCCTAATGGCTCAAAAAATTATTCGGAAATATCACAATGTCTCTATCTCAATTTTTAACTATTTTTTGTAAATTATAACGAAACCACTGTTTGCTAAGGTAAGAAAAAAACAATTTTTTCAGGTATGGTCTTCAATTTTAACTGTACTGTATAATAGCACAGTTATTACAATTGAAACATGCGACTCAATCGAGAGTTTACAAAAATAGAGCTTTCCAAAAAATGCAGCGAACTAATCAAGTTCACTGCAAACACACCAATCGAGGTGTCCTTTCCTTTTTGAAAATTCGCTTATACGCTCATAGATTAACGAGTCGGATATTTTCACCCTCTCTGTTTTATTTTTATACTTCAGGTTTTATTTTTATTTACCTGACTCTTTACCTACACCTTCTTACTTTCTTCCTGTGTCTTTATGTCTGTACACTGAGAGAAAAAAATAATAAAAAATAATGGAAAAATTCCAGCAAAAATTAACATTCCGCACTATAGATCTGGTGCAAACTGGCAAAAAAGGAAATTTTTTTTTTTTTAACAGTAAAAATTATTGCTTTAACAGTTAAAATTATGGTAAGCACAGTAAAAATTTCTATGGTGGAAAGTAAAGTTTACTAACCGATCTAAAAAGATGTTAAGGTTTACCGTTCCAGCACGCAATTTTAACTGTTAAACCAATAATTCTTACTGTTAAAAATGATTTAATTTTTTCCTTCTTCGCCTTGACTTGCATCCAATTTACTGCACAGAATGGTAATTTTTCCTGAAATTTCTTTATTTTTTTCTCTCAGTATATGTGTTTCTATATCTAAATATGTACAGGCATTTCTGATTCTATATATATTTTGTTGGAGAAAACCCGAGACCAGTTAATTGCCAAGGGTACCTCATTTCTCATGTACATACCCCTTACATTAGTGAAACGAGGCAAGGGTTTAATTTCACGTAGATACAACGCGTGCCCACGTTAATCGCACAGTTAGGCAAAACACAATAAATATCAATAACGAGGAGCAGAGCGAAGGGGAGAGACGCGCGTGATTACCATGCGCAACATTTTTCACTGCGAGCCAAAATTGAAGGATGAGGTAATGACACACGAGAACGTGACGTCTCGCAGCGTTGGCTCACGTGTTTCAGGCACACGAGCGATTTCATTCCGTATTTTCCGGACACCCGAGAACACCACACGAGCGACCATTTGTCATTATTCGAGCCACCCCCTCTTCAAAGCCCCCAACTATTTAATTAAAACATCAACTTGGCACAAATGATGAACGGACGATGATTCGCTCGTTCTGGTGGATGATATAATTAGGTTACGCAAGGGAGATGTAAAGAAGTTCCCATAAAATGCGCTCGCGGGCTCTTCGATCATCTGTCCTTATCAAGTGCATTGGCAAGGATCGGCTGTTGGAAATTTTTCTAATTTTCCACGGTTTCGAGAGAAGCCTCGGGGTGACGCGTATATATTTGTTGTACCGCCCCTCGATTGAGGGCAATTTTCGCTCGGCCGGGAGCAAGAGTTTCATACCCGAAGAGGCGAGCCAAGAGAGGGAGTTCACCTGTTCGGAATAAGTAATTTCGACCACCGAATCGATCGGAACGAAGGTGGACGAGAACTTGGATTTCAATTTGTTTTTTTCACGAGTTGCGGTGTTACTTGCGCAATCGGTATATATATGATTGAGTTTCAGACGCTACACGCGCAAAACTAATTATTCTCACCCAACTGAGTGTATTTTCTAAGCTCAACGAGCCAAGTGCACGGCTGATCCTTTCTCCATCCACCGAATAATAAACGAACACAGGTAACGCCCCGACGAGCATCCCATGAATTACACATCATATATATTATAGTATAGTCGCGGAATCGCTATTGGATCGCCATCGGGTGGTGAACAAACATCGGTTTCTATATCGTAACTAAATAAAAAAGGATAAAATAATCACTCGAGTAATTTACCTCGTGCTCCGCACCAATGATTTCCAAGGCATGTTTATAACCTTACACTCCCTGCCTTTGGAAAAAAAAAAAAAAACATGTATATAATATGTACCGATTTAGCAAGGGGTGCAACAATGCCAGGAACAACGGACACCTCGTAAAAAAAAAAAAAAAAAAAAAAAGATTCAAACGAGTGAGGGGAATCCCCGTTTTCGATTTTTTCTTTTTCATTTCCCGCGTCGATCGATTCGTAATAGAGCAAGTCACACGGAACATATTCTGTACATATACACAGCACGTGAAGAACTTGAATGAGCATCAGGGCATGGATGGAGTTATATTTTTATTACGTCAATTAAAGCCACAGCCACTCATATACAGCAGAGCAGAGCATATAGAGGGAAAGAAAGACCCAGCTCCGTTGTAATGTACACACAACAGCTGCTCGGCTCTCATATCTCGACTGGCGAATCTATCCTCTCTCTCTTTATGGAATATAAGTGGGTATGCAGAGGCCGCAGAGCGGGGCACTCTGTGTGTGTCGAAAGAAGCGCGCCTCGCCCTAAATACACGCGGAGAGGAGAAGAGAGAGAGAGAGAGAAAAAAAGATGTAGCTTTGTGTTTTATGCATAGTAGACGAATTTCCATGGTACCGGATTGCCTTAATGATGAAATTGGGAACGACGGAGAGCCGGGGATTCCCCGGCTTCTTTCTTTTTTTTTTTTTTTTAATTTTTTTTTTCTTTTAGGTCGGGATCGTGTTTTTTGATATAGAGGGAGTGTTGCACGCGCGGCATCAATTGTGTGGATTGTATTTTTGTACTTATCGTGTCTGGCGTGCCATCATCGATCTCTCGGATTTCGGGGAGATTGGGGTTCAGGCTAATTTTACGCTCTCTCTTTTTCTCTTGCTTTCTCAAGATGGTTAATGTATCGAAGGTGTGTTGCATAGTAATATTTTTCGCATTTAATTATGTAAAAAAATTTTTAGCCTTTTTTTTAATTTATTTATTTCAAGTACTATACGGAAAAGTAACAAAAATGAGGTTTCAATTGAAGTCAAATGTGGAGGAGTGAAATAATAAACGTTTAAAAGGTCTACTTGAAGAAAGATTTGGCGGCAGCTAATGCAACGCGGCTTCTGCGTCGAATTTAGCGCGAAAAGATAACATTCTCTTTTTAATTAGCTCTGCGCACTTGTGACATGAGAAATGCGTCGCGAGACGTTCTCTCCGCGAGCGCGAAAGTCTGGATGCTTTACTGTTCATTATTAATCTGGTT